AGCTGATAAAAGAAGATTAAAGTAGCATTCAAGCCGATCCAAGAAGATTGAAGAAGGGTGAAGACGATCAAAGAATGATGAAGAAGAGTGACGACAATCAAAGAAGTTCAGTGTAGTGTAGGTTTTGTTGAACAAGGTGGATGGGTGGAGACTATGACAAAAGATGGATGAATGTGGATGAATGACTGGCCAATATAAGATGATCGGTGATGGTGTGTGGTGTATGGGTTGTGTGATTGGGTGAGAGGTAGAGAGGTAGAGAGGTGGTTTGTACAATTTTCATCATCTAATGTGAAGTTTTCATCTTTGGGGTCTTCGTTTATGGTTTGTTAATTGTTGTTTTTTGATTATCGACATTTGTTTTTTGATTTTCGACTTTTGTTTTTTTGATTTTTGAATTTTGTTTTCCTCTTTTGTGGCTTTCCTGGTACTTTTTGTGTCAATGCGACAATGGGGTGACAAATTTTGAGTTTCAAGTTGTCAATCTACTGAAATTTGGGCCGTAACCTGGTCTGAAAGGGGTTTCTGCCATGACTTTTACTCCAGTACAGGGGTTTTTGCCCTGTATTTGAATATTTTCTGTAGTTTTGTCTTTGATTTTTGAATTTCGCACCCGGGAATTGTGATTTTTGTTTTTTGATTTTTGCATTGTCACCTTGACACCTCTCGCATTCCGTACTAATTTAATCCTAATAGGAAAAATTTCAACTCGTTCTATTAGAAAAAAGTATCAGAAACCCTCTTTGGTTTTCTTCTCAATTGATGATTTATCAAGTTGACGATTTTCTTTTTGAAATCCGAAATACGTTTTCAAAAAATCAACCGCATCTTGATCAACATACAACCTAAGTGGTACAATCTTAAGCTGTAGATATATATATAATAAAACCTCATTAAGAAACTTTTTCAAATAATTCACTTTCTTTTTTAATTTGGAACTTCGAATTTTTAATAATAGATTCCATTTCACTCACTTTCAAAATCGCTTCTTGTTTTCCATCCTCATCAGGTGAATCCACCAAATCAAACTTCACACGTAACATAGGTGATCCAGTCGACCTTAGATTCCCTCCATCATTAGGTCTAAGTTCAGTCAAGAATTTCTTCCAAGTTCATGTTTTAATATTATCTAGAATCGAAACTTGATTGACTTTGATTTTCATGTTCATTAAAGATTCACCGAATCTTTCACAAATGGATATTTGCTTGGATCATAAACTCGAAAA